ATCCCAACCCAAATTGGCAACCTCACCAGGTTAAAATGGTTGGTTCTTTACAACAACCAGCTCAGCAAGCTCGACAATAACCAGATCTCCAGTTCAATACCGGCGAAGTTCGGAAACTTGTCGAATCTTTCTCTTCTCTTCTTATGGCAGAACAAGCTCGAAGGAAACGTTCCACCATCGATTTCCAACTGTGTGAATCTCGAGGCCATTGATTTGTCGCATAACGGCTTGACGGGGCTGATTCCCAAAAGGCTATTCAATTTCCAGAATCTCACGAAGCTGCTACTGCTATCTAACAACTTCTCCACTGAAATTATGCTGAAGATCAGAAACTGCTCGTCGCTGATTCGGTTTCGGGCCAGCGGCAACAAACTCGCGGGAGGGATTCCACCCCAGAAAGAGAGGAGAGAGAGAGGGTGGTGGAGGAAGGTTGGGGGGACGAGGAAGGGTTGGGTGGCTGTCGAAGAGAAGAAGAAAAAGGGTTGGTGCGGGTGGAGGAAAGGGAAGGCCGGATACTTAGGCTATTTTTTATTTTTTTTAGTTTTTTAATTTTTAAATTTTTGAATATTTAATTATTAAAAATATATTTATTATTTTTTAATCCAGTTGGATTAGTGAGTGGGTCCCGTCTCTGGCCACGTCAGCATTTAACTGACAAATTAACGGTAGGCTAATGGAAGGTATAATATTGGCACAATTCGTAAGATGGGGTATGACATTGTCAATTTTAAAAGATGAGGTATGTAAGTGTCGTGACACCAATAGTTGAGGTAGTTTTTTGTACTTTACCTAAATTTTAAATTTCAATTTTTATTCATTAAAAAAAATAAAAAATAAAAAAATAAAAAAAACCGAACCAGGCCGAAACCAAACCGAAAAAAAATCAAAAAAAATTGAACCAAACCAAACTGAAATTTCGGTTCAATTTCGGTTTTGGCAAAAAACCGAACCCAGCCCTAAGAGAAACCTAGATAACTGTTGATTGCTAGTCAAAAATGAAAAACTAAGGGTACAATATACCCATATATATATATATATATGGCTAAAAAATACATGAATGAAAAAAGAATACATAAATCCTCAAAAAAATGCATTAGGTGTTACATGGATATGAATCATATAAGTAATAAACTAGGAGTTACATGGACATGAATGAATGAGATGTTACGAATATATAAATGATGCATAAATATCAAGGTTCTAAAAAACACTAGGCACTAGTCGGGCTGCGAGCTAGCGCCTAGTGCCTAGGCGGCTAGGCGAGGTCAAGGCAGGCGCCTAGGCAGCCTAGGCGAATTTAGGTAAATTTATTGTATATCTTGTAAATAAGCGCATATTGACTCTTACAAAAAATTATACTTGTATAAAATCCATAGATAAGATAATAAAATAATGATAAAATGCAAAAAGAGTATCAAACAATGTGTCTCCAATAGATAGGATTTTTTTTTATTTTTTAATGAATTAGATGGTATAAGATGAAAGTTCATATGATAATAAGTGTGTATTACTTTATAAATATTTTTTAAAAATTATTTATTATATAGTGAATGAACTTAAAGAAAAGTAAAGGTGTAAACGTTTTGATTTGTAGTCTGTAAAAAGGGAGGTGGGGAACACTGCACCAAAAAAGGATGTGGGGCACACTACACAATATTCAATGTTTATTATCTATCCCTGACAATTGATTAGAAGTTAATTAATTTAAAAAAAATAAATAAAACAAAAAGTGGAGTGGGTATGTGACTTATGTATGTCACGTGGGGGAGTGGGAAGAGAGAGAAACTCATTTATTTTATCTTATTCTTCTTTCCATCTTCTTCTTCTTCCTTTCATCTTCTTGAAACGCAGAAGGCAGAACCAGAACAAGAACGCAGCTCTCTGCAATGACAAAATGTCTAAAATGCCTAGACCGCCTAGGTCACCAAGTCGCCCGCTTAGGCCGCCCAAGCACCGCCTAAGTTGCCTCAGCGCCCACCTAATCCTCTTGCCGATTTTTCTCCCAATTATGGGCTAATCAAAGCTGCTGGCCACCTTGTAGCGCCTAGGCGGCCGCCTAAGCCGATTTTTAGAACACTGATAAATATGCTATGAATATATAAATGAAGCCTAAATATGCTATGAATATATAAATGATGCATAAATATAAGAGAAAGACATTAGACCAATAAATTAGTCAATTACACAATAATGGACGGACAGATTCTAAGCATTGTCAGTGTTGGGAATGAGTGGAATGAATTGTCCCTTTCTCCTTAGCCTGCTTGGTTTCTTCCTCGTGAATATTCTGCATCTAAAGTATCCTCTCCATGACAACCTCATATGAGTGGCGTTCGTTCTCTCACTTCTATATAAGGTAGAACTCTGCCTGCACTGCGATCCTGAATGTCTTTCCACTGCCCATGTTCGAGGAAGTCCGCTCCAAGATCCTTACCTTTGATCTGCAGAATCCTCGTTCTTCCTCCACACCCGCGGCCTCTCAAACTGCTATCATCACAACTCAGGCCCCTCAGCGTGACTCCAATTCATCTGCAAATCGTGGCGGTTCCTGGCAAGGAAATTGCTCCAGTCGTGGCAGCCCTAGTCACGACACCCAGAAGTATCGTTCTTGGCGCCACAATCAGCAACAATATCGTTCTAATTAACCTATGCATTGGAATGGGCCCTCAAAGAATTGGAAAAGTGTAATCGGCCTACCGACTTTGCTAGTGGAAACTGGATAGCTCCAGGTCTGTTGGGGCGGAAAAGGATCGCCAGATCCTATTCCTGGGGATCTGAGGATCCCATAATCATATATGTTCATCATATATCGTGCGGTCAGTTTTCGTTAGGTACTATTTATATTTAATTTTATATTTAAAATTTAAAATGATTTTTGACCGCACGATGTACGATGAACGGACATGATTACTGGATCCCCAGGAAAAGGATCTGGCGAGGATCCTTTTCCTGTTGGGGCCAACCCCTCCTATAACTGATGCATGGTGTCCCACTTGCTCCACGGTGCCCAACATTCTGCCGCCACCTGACCCTATCGTTATGGCGGCCTTAATGCTTTTCCACCTTTGTAGGGAGAGATTTTTCAGTGTGATCGGGACACGAGTTGGTACATCAAGTGTCACTATACAAATTGTGCGATATGTGTGTTAAAAAGTTAATAACTTAAATATTAAAATTTTCCCTCACTTATATAAAAGCACGTGATGTATCACTCGTATTCTGGTCACAATAAAAAATTTCTCCTTTGTAGGCTCTCAAGTCGTTCAATATCAAGACCCCTCCACTTGGTTCCCCGACACTGGTGCCATACATGATATAGCACATGACCGGTGATGCAAATCTCCTTCAGCATCCCCAACGTTATCATGGTCATAACTCGACTGAATTAGGTAATGGTGACACTCTTAATATCACATCCACTAGTGCAATATCTATTTGTCTCAATTCTTCTCCTTTCTACCTTCGTAATGTCTTTTTTGTGCTATCTTTAAGCAAAAATCTTCTTTATGTCGCTCGTTTTACATACGACAATAATGTGGCCATTTGTTTCTTTCCGTTCTTGTATCGTATTTATGGTTTACGTAATGATGAGTTACTCTTTCAGGGCCATGTAAAGATGTACTATATCCATTGTCGTTTTCATCACCTAAAGCTCTTGTTGTGCCGTCCATTGATTGGCATCAATACTTTGGTCATTCTTCTGTGTATGTGTTGCCTCGTCTATGTCCTAGTCTAGGTTCAAATTTTGTAATTTCTCGTTATTTTTGTAAGAGATGTGCTTTACAGAAATCCACACAACTCCCTTTTGAATTAAATAATAAACATGCAACTTTTCCTTTTTCAATAATTCATTATGATGTATGAATGTCCACTATTGATTCTATTTATCGTTACTTTTCACTGATGATTATTCCTACTATTCTTGAATTTATTCCATGAAAAAAAAATCTTGAGGTATTCATGCACTTTCAAAGCTTTGTGGCTATGGCTAAAAATTTATTCAATGCTTCTATTAAATATTTGCAAAGTGATGGTGGCACTGAGTACGTTATGGTTGAAGCCGCGCTCACTTATGTCCACCTCATCAAATTGCTCCCTACACCTACACTTCGTTGACCCACTCCACACTTCTTTCTTTTTTTTTTCTTTTTTTCATTTTTTTTTTTTTTGTCGTTCTTACATACCTTTGGTTATTTGTGTTTTCCTTGGGCAATTATGTTAAAAACAAACTAATGACCGCTCTAGTGAGTGTGTTTCTTGTGGGCTATAGTGCTTCTCATAAAAGTTACAGGTACCTTGATCCAAGCCCTAGGCGTGTTTACATTTCACGACATGTCGTGTTTCATGAGGCTAAATTGCCATTTAACAAGTCACAACGTACAGCCCCATCCTCCTATATGGAACTCTCCATTATTGGCTAATCTTCATTTCCTATTTATATTTAAAGCTCGATAACATGACCAATACCAAGGTCCAAAACCAATAGTCTAATCATTATATGTAATTAACATTCATAGAAGAGTTAATAAATTAGTCACTAAATCCTCTCCTATAGCGCTATAGAATTTGACTGAAACTTGGAGTTGGATATGGTTGATATGCTATTTAGGAAGCAACTGAAGCACGTTTCGCCTATTGTTCACCTACAATTGTGTGCCTTTGACTTGCCCGCAAATTTCAGCTTTTAAATTTCCATACGTATCTTGTAATTGGATGAATATCATAGCCAATCCAATACCAAGGAAAATAACATCACTACCGACTTGGTTCGGCACCAACTTCACAAATTCATGTACATCCAATGATCATTTTGGTACTGGCTTGCGTGCATGAGTTGAAGAATTCTTTTAGGTTGGTATGGTTTTGAATTTAGAACCCATGAATTTAGGGTGGTGAACTAACTATTTCTTTTTCCCGCTTCCTCTAAACACAACTCATCAAACTTAAGCACTAAGAGTCTTCCCCCTATTTTTTACATAAATACCCAAAGACACATTCAACTCTTCACAACAAAAAACATCATTTTAAAAGATTACCCTAGCAACTCCTCATCAAAGCTTTACTTTCGTCGCAAGTTCAACCATGGCTTTCCCCAAGATTTTCTTCCTTCTGTTTTCGGTGGCGGTGCTATCACTTTCAAGCGTCCATATGAGCCAAGCAGCTCGCCGCCTTTTGGACACGCCAGCAGCTCCACCGCCAGCATTACCCATCCCTACCATCCCATCTCTGCCGAAGACCACATTGCCGCCATTGCCTTCAGTACCAACTCTTCCCAAGACCACATTGCCTCCGTTGCCTTCATTGCCAACACAGCCCAAGACCACATTGCCTCCATTGCCTTCATTGCCAATACAGCCCAAGGCCACCTTGCCATCCCTGCCCTCTAACCCATTGCCTACTCTTCCAACTGCTCTTCCTCCAATGCCAAGCTCTCAAATTCCATCTTTGCCAAAATCAGCAATGCCCACTCTTCCCACAACACTACCTCCATTGCCAGCCAACCCACTGCCATCATTTCCCACAACAATCCCTTCAATCCCAACTATTCCATCAACTATTCCAAGCATTCCATTCCTCTCCCCACCTCCATCAAACTAAACCACCGGAGATGATCACATATATAACCGCCATGGTTCTCCTTGCTTACTACACTACTACTATCTGATATCTTGGATGTGCTGTACGGTGGCTGATTAATTACTCTATGTTATTGTTCTGGAGAGCTTGTGCGGATGTTTAATTTTCATGATTCCCTTTTTATTTTTCTTTTTCTTTTTCTTTTGCTTTTTCTTTTTAGTTTTTGGGTTTTATATGTTCTGGATATGTATATTGTTGTGTTTGTGATTGTGTTTTCTTGATTATACTTTAATAAAACATTTATTGAATTAATCTTACCATGTATGATCTTTGTTCGAAGTCTTTATGATAAACTAGATTATGATATTAACCGAAGAGGTAGCTGGAAAAGGAAAAGGAAAAGACAAAAAGAGGAAAGAAAAAAATTATGGAAAAAGGAAAAGTGGGATTATATAGATCGTCCTACCATAACTTACCAGACTGAAGTAGACCAAAATGCATTTGTTACAAGAAACTGTTATTAAGTCAGTTGAAAGAAAAGACAAAAATCATCTTTCTCCATCCTCCTTCCGCACATCCTGTTTATTTCGGTCCATTAATTATCCTTTATTTAATCAATTCAAACACTAGAAGCACGTGGAGAAAAAATGAGTGTGAAAATCATATTCCAATACAATGAGGAAAGAAAAGGCAGGTTGGAGCAATGTTTGTTTGTTTTTTTTTTTTTTTTTTTTTTTTTGGAGAACTAGATAATAGCATAACCAGGGCCGAAGCCAAAGAAGTATAGAAAGCCACCACGGCCAACACAAAACAACAGTGAGAAACAGGTAAAGCTACGACACAAAGACATTCTTTTGTCAACTGTAACTCATTTTGCAAAAAAAACTATGAAGGAGGGCAAGGGAGACCATCCTTATTCAGTACACGGACAAACGAAGATGGGGGTCGATGGACCTAGATAAAGTCGCACTCCGCTCCAGCATGTGGTGCCACAAAATTTGCCACTCCATTGGCTGATCTTGGAACCCAATGTTTTGGTAAGAGTAATTGACGTAGCATGACAAAGAAACTATATTAAACAATAACATTAATTAAAAACCAAGTAATTGGAAATCAGCAGAGAATGAGTGACCATGAAAGTTTACTAGTTAAAGGTGCAAAAGATAACAAAGCGTAGCACTCTAATGCTATGTTTGGATGATGAAATTTAAGATTATTAAGGAATTTTAAAATTACGGAAATTGAAATAACGGGACTTTATTTTCTAGAATTTGTGAGTTTTCTTGTTTGGTTAACTTAAAAGAACAATTGGTTATTTTCAAACTCTCAATCATAGAAATTGGTAAATGACATCTATTTACATGAAAATTAAACTTGGGAATTGAAGGTCCCAAATTCCAAGTTTTTTTTCCACAAGGAAATTCTAAATTTCTATGCTTATGAATCCACATTCTGACTTTTATCCAATTTCTAGTTTATTTTCCTCATCCAAACATAGTGTAAAGGTGATTTATACAATGTTTCTTAGCCTTATACTCTTTAGAATTTCAAATAGGAAAAGAATTACGTTATACCAAATATCGAAAAAAATGTCTCAAAAAAACTTCAAACATAATAAACGATAGAATTTGGCCAAATGAGCCCATATGTCACAGCAAAGTGATGAGCCCAAATATGCAAGGCATTCTTCTTGCTGCCAGATTTGCTCATTGGTTTTGATATTTGATCCACTCCGCCAATTAATCGACATTAATAATCGAGTTGTTGCAGTCCTATTGGAATAGGAATGTGATTGTGTAAATCCTAGTAGATATGAGAATGTATCTTATATTCCTATTAGGAGTAGATTACCTATTAAATGTTGTAATCCTAGAGGGTAAGGAATTAACCTTCCCTAGTACTATAAATAAAGGGATAATGGGGTGAAATAACACACACCCACAATTACACATCTCTCTCTTTCTCTCTACTATTTCCACACATTCCCTCTCTCTCTAGCCTCCATAATCATTCAGTAAATTATGCCTACAACACGTTATCAGCACGCTCTTGACGCTGCGCTAAAGAGAGTTTATTATTCAATCAGGGGAGTATTATGTTTTAATCATCCTTTTCATGATTAATTAATTTATTATTTTGAATTGATCTACATTGTCACATCCCGGCCCGGGGTCCACCACATCCCAGGCCCATTCCACCACAGTAGTACGATATTGTCCGCTTTGGGCCCCGACCACGCCCTCACGGTTTTGTTTATGGGAACTCACACGAGAACTTCCCAGTGGGTCACCCATCATGAGAGTGCTCTCGCGCACTACTCGCTTAACTTCAGAGTTCCGATGGAACCTGAAGCCAATGAGCTCCCAAAAGGCCTCGTGCTAGGTAGGGATGGGAATATACATATAAAGATCACTCCCCTGGGCGATGTGGGATGTCACATACATGTTATCAATTCAATTTAATTTTTCTTCGTTGAACGTGATACAACGCATTGGAGAAGCAATTCTGGCTTTTCAAAAAGGATCTGCAACAAATTCAAAGGCTTTTATCGTTTTCTACCAATCAGGTTCGCTTAAAATAAAGTAAGATATTTGAAACGACCATGAAGCATGAAAACATTCCCCATGATGCATGAACCCCCTACATTTATATTTACCTTCCGATATATATATTGTATATGTTTCATATATTTCATATATTTGTCAATATATATATTTGTTTCATGCATTACGCAATTATGCTATGTGGAATTTGTGAGTCAAAGAATATAAATAAATTAGTAGCAATTTAGGGTTTGTCAAACCCTAACTATGTCGAAAAAAACAATTTGCGGTTGAACCGCGAGCCGGCACACCAAACTCACCCCAAGCCGAGCCTGCAGCTCGAGCCTTAGGCACTGGAACTATAAGGTAACAGCCCTTTGGGCTTTGTTGCATGTATTGGACCAAGCCCAACTAACTGGTTCCTTGATGCTGGGCTTCAGCCCCGCAGCCTCTGACCCAAAAGGCAACCCAGGATGGGCTTTTGCTCACGCCTTATGCCACACTTCCTGCAGACTTTATACTAATGGGTTCTGTCTCCTGGCCCGCTGATTTGCAATCAAATTGGGCTGCTGTGCAGCCGTGTAATGTAATCTAAAGCCTGCAATTTTTGCAGGGCCATGTATTGCAACTAACCAAAGTGTGTTGGGCTGCATTCTTTTTCGACCCAATGCTATTTTTTTGGCATTTTAAATAATTTTAACCCAAATGTTATTATTATTTTTGCTTCTACGATCGACCCCGAATGGTCCCGATTTACTGAATTAATTAAAAATGACCTGCAGTCTATTAATCTAATAATGAATCCAAAATTATTGACCTGAAGATCACTTTTGGACATTAACGATTCAATAATTTATTTTTATACTTTGAACCGTTGACTTACTTTCGTAGTCCCGAAGCACTCACACTTGAGTTCTTGAAGCAACCTCAAATCCACTACACTTAAATCAACATATTGCATTCTGTGTTCTTGCAGGAACCTCTTTTTTTTTTAATTAAACATTCATAAACTAAATTGAACCTGTAGTTTCAAATTTAGTGCCTTTGAAACCCGAAGTTTTCATAAAACAATACACCCATGAAAACCCGACGTTTTTTCATGAAAACCATGTCTTAGAACTCGAATGTTCTAACTTTGATGTTTATGGATGATTCCTTCCCATAGCACCAATCATAATCTTGTTCCCTCCATTCAGTGGATTGTCATACCGTAACAAGTTCGATTTTCCTGATTTGATGTTTCTAATAGAAATCACTTCATGTGGGGTACAAGCCATGAATCTCCACTTGACTATCAAGAAGCTGAGAAACCATTGAAGCCAACAATGGCAAGGAAGAGCTGAATAAGCCTCCGCCATGATCTTCATTCGAAGACTTATGGCCGAAGCATTATCAATGGAAATACCTCCCGAACGAGGATTCCATGGCTCTTTGGCTCGCTCCTACGAACCGTGTGATCATGCAACATATTGCCCAAAGCACACCATGATTACGTCCATGAATAAGTACAATTCTGAAGTTTATAAATCCGATCGAATTTTGACTGGAGAATACTTTTCTCGTCCTACCATGTTTCTAACTTGCCACTGAAGCAGCAGTGTAGAAAGCGAAAGTTTACCAAATTCTCGGATCTAATTACTACCACAAACATATAGTAGAATCAGGGCCTACCAAGGTGTGGCATCATGCCCGAAGCATGATCCTTAGCACCTAAGACATAAAACTTCAAGAATAAGGAAAAATATTCCCGAACCTGAACCCTGCAGAATCTAATTCCGTCTCGATGGAATGGATCATTAGTTATGCACCTATTCATGCCCCTACCAATGTTGTTAAGGAGTACCATTCTAGTAGGCAATATGTGAGACTAATTTTTGCTCCACCAAACACCGTTGGAAGAGCCGAATTTTGACATGGATGGCCTTGTTGGCCAAATCCCCTTAGTAAACCATTTACTTTGTGAACATTTCTCTATATTCTTGGATTCAAGTTTGGTGTATGTTTTACTTATGGATAATCTTATTGATATTGTCCTCGAATATGAGTTAATTGGATCATGTTTTTCTTAATACATGTGACCGATTCAATTAAACACGTGATTAGGTAGGAATGTGGGGAAGTTAGTTGTCTGGATGAATGTGTACTACGCACACTAACTTTACACCTAAATCACATCTCTAACAACGACTTCAGGTCTATCCAAACTGATTAAAAGCACTGGCACACTCCTCATTGTACGAATGGTATTGAATCACCATTTAAGGGACCTTAAATTCTCCCTAATGTTGAGTATTTAAGGATATTCGAGATGACAATGATCATAAATGAAACCACTGAAGAAAATAGAGTGAAATATCTTTGCACCACCTCCAAAAATAAGCCTGAAGTTTTGATTTGGGGCCAATAGGTTTGTCTCCCAACTAGGAACACACCACATGTGGCCGGCCTGAAGCCTAGTGATTAAGCAGTTTACTTGTTTTGGCATGACCTTTTGGGACACTTAGGTCGAACAATGATGCTACAACGCATCTCCTTACCCGAAGTAAGGATCTTGTGCCTACAAGCACACTTTGCCAAGCATGCTCATTAAGGAAATTGATTTTCTAAATCATCTCTCGCAAAGATACGAAACGACTCTCTTTTCACAGTGGATTCAAGGGAATATATGTGGACTAATCCAGCCAAAATGCGGACCATATAGATACTTATGGTTTTGGTTGATGAATCGACAAACTGGTCATATGTTTGTCCACACACATTGCTGCTAAACCTCA